GGCTTCACTTGTCTCTTTGACGAGTTGTTATATGGTGCTAAGAATGGCGATACTCACTGACGATGCCGGCGAAACGTTTGGATATGTACTACGTCCACGGTTCAACTTTGGAAATGATCATTGACAATGGACCCCGGACTAGGTGCGTTCCAATAAGTCTTCCTACCAATATGACCATGTTGCAAAAACAAGATCAAACAACCTCTATATCTCCGATGTTGAAAATAATCATGAATACTTGGGGGCTGAGGATAGAGGACTAGGTCTCCCTGTCGCTCCGTCCAAGTTGTGACAACGAGGTAAACCAACACTATTTCGACCAAACAAAAGACCATACCATCTTGTTCGTCATATCTACTATTAAATAATATGGTTTTCTAAAAAAATATTTAAAAAGGTCTAAACTAGTCCTACATTAAACTCTTGATTGATAATTTTCATTATGCCTCTAGTAACTGCCTAGTTCCATTAAAAGCGTTTTAATAAAAGTGAAGAACCGCTATTAATCGATTTATCTTTTACATACCTATAAGTGATCTTCCCATGGCAAATTGAAGTCTTGTTTTAGCTTTACAATTTAACTTGCAAACTTTGTCAAAAGTTGGTTCTCATTCAGCAGCAATTTCGATCTCATCTAGGTCTAACTTCTTTCGATTGGGTTTGAATTTAGAACGCGTGTTACCAAAGCATACTACGCTGCCTACTTTGCTACGGTGCTTTATAATAGGCTACGCTTATTTCCATGAACTTGCGCTCTTTGGTGTGGCGTCCGTATCTAATTGATGTCTAAGGTGCGATCTGTCCTTGAGGAAAGGATTGCAGGATGACAGTAAAATTGGCTAACTCACTACTTTTCTCTTAATTTTACTGAGAGTAGACAAATTATCAGTGCTTGAGACACCAATCGACCAATCGTCTATCTCCGCTCTTAACTATATTTCCGGACACTCCTGAGATCGCTATTATTTTAATCACAACTTTATCTGATGACAAAAATGTACTTTTTTTTCAGTCACATTGATCAACCCATTAAATTTTTGATCGTTTCCATTTCTTACCTTTCATATACGATTGCTTGACTATTGAAACACTTATTTATTGTTTTTTTGACCGTTTACTTTGCACAAGATCTAAAATATGCCTTTACTCACAAAACTATTTGATTGTATACATTAGTGAATTACACTATGGTTAAATGATAAAATGGCTTTGAAAATCACTAACTAGGATAGAATGAATAAACAACACGTCTATACTAAAGAAAAATTAATTTTTATGCTAAGGTTCTGATCAATAGAATATATCCCACCTTACCCAGGTTTAATTTTTAAACTTTACTTTTATACATACTATTATTTTTCAAGGGTTTCAGAGCAATCTTCCATGAACATGATGACTACAGAGAACCTCTCCATTGTTTTGGCGCCAAGTCTAATGTCCTCTTCTTACACAGATCCTGCAAGCTGCTTAGCTGGTGCCAAATTAGAACAGGCTGTTGTGGAACGTCTTATCGTTGACTTTAATCTGATCTTCAATAATCACACAGATTCCGCTGCAATCACATCCATTGATGGTGGGCCTCCAGCCTCTCCTATTCGAGTGAATCAGACAAAAGTGGTAGGTAGCTTTTTTCAGTTTTTCCTGGATTGGCTCATGGTGCATTCATTACTACTGCATACCTCCTTGCATTTGTGTGAATGAAAAACGTCTGAGGTTGTAACCCCCTTTCATTTTCCATCGCACTTCCCTAAGCTATACTATGCGAAGAAAAGTTGGGTTTCAAAGTATCTCTTGTTTCATAATTATTGAGCATACTTCCATTTTGATTTAAAGTGTTTGATGAAGAGATTCGAAGGTCGATCCTACCAGAAGACGACGGTGGATTCCTCTTAACCAGCTGTCGACTGGCTTTACTGGAACATACTTGTTGACGCCGTTTCCGATGTAATCGCCTTCGATTTCAATGAAAACGTGGTAAGCTCTTGTCCGCCGTGTGATAAACATCACCAGAACAGGGTATCATCCTTACCACTAAATTCAACCTAGCGAATCAAGAAAATTCACCAACTCATCTCTAAAAGCTTTATTTATATTCTATATCTGAGCTCTTTGATGAGGTTTAAAGTGATTTAGTTAGTTCAAGTCATTTCAACCTCGAAGCATGTGAATGTATCTCTCTATGTGTTTATGCCTATATGTGTTTGCATATGTACGAAACTAGCAGAGAGCTTAAAATAATTAGGACGGCAAAATTATCGTCTTTTCTCGGCCATCAAGACTTGATGACCACCATCAGCCTTTCTATATATGTTTTAACCATTAATCCGATTGCGCAAGTTGGGTCACATGTCTGGTTATGTTGATGAGCTTTTTTGCCTTAAGTCAGAGAGAAAGAGTGAGCGAAAAGTACAGAAAAGTGACGTAATCTTTGCTGTCCTAATTACTTTGAGCATCTTATACATGCGAATACACACAGACACATATACATAAAGAGACAGACACGGTCACATGCTCAGAGGTTGACATATAACCGGAACTAAGTAAATCACTTTCTATCTCATCAAAGAGCCCAGATCTAGAGTATATATATCTCTTTAGGAATGAGTCGATGAGTTTTGTTGACTCGTTAACCTGAATTTGGTTGTAAGGATGATATCCTGTTCTGATGATGTTGGTCACACGGCGGACGAAAGCCTAGCACATTTTCACCGGAATCGAAGGAGATTAGTTCCAAAACAGTGTCAACAAGAATGTTCCAGTAAAGCCAATCGACAACCTATCAAGAGGAATCCGCCGCCATCTTCTGGTGGGATCGACCTTCGAATCTCTTCATCAAGCACTTTTACTCTGAATGGAAGAATGCTTAATAAGTTATACTAGTTTTCGGTTTTGAGAGTCCCTAATTCAGACGACAGTCAATAACTATCGCGAATATGACATGCAGAAGATACATATCGATTAAGGCTTTATCAAGAGGCCGATCATGCAGCGGTTAACAGCATGGAACTGCTGAATACTTTTCAAGTAAACAGACAGTTTTCAGCTATCTCATTTGTCACATTCTTTATCCAATATAGGAATAATTCCTTCATGTTTATTGGGCTAATAGTAAATTAAGAAGAACATGGAAACGAAGGCTGGGGGAATTTCTATAATATATATTTAAAATAGCATTTCTTGCTTTGGCTGATTATTTTCCCATTAGGCAAATTTTATAAAAACCTAGGTGATGCGAGAGATTTAAGACTTAAGACCCAAACTTTCGAATTTAATTATAGTTTGATTGAATTTCGCTGCGTTGTTTACACATTTACTGTTGCACAAACTATGACTTTTTTCTTGAAGTCTTAATCTATCTGTCCATTTTGGTATTGCTCGGCATTGATTTAGATATTGTTTCTTTGACTCGGATTGTCTTGCGATTTTTTTTTGCTAGATTGAGATTTCAGTACGTGGATCATTTTTATCAAAGGCAATGTTTTTTTTGAAGGAACATCCTTTTTTGACATCCACTTAACTAAACCCTGACATTGTTTTATTCGTTGTGCTATTTTTGGTTGCCTCGTGTTGTATTCAAGTCCTGAGTGTGGCTGCTATTATGTACTTTCAATGTATCGACTAACTATTGATTAGTTACTATTTACTCTCCATGAGCTCTTTCGTTGTCTACTTTCTAGTCGAATCACCACTTAAAGTTTACTTTTCTTATTTGAATGCTTTAGTTTTAAGAATTCATTTGGTAAGTCGACATTTTCTGGCTGCTTGTTTATAGTGGCAAATACTAGTTTTTTTATGTCTTCCTTAAGTAGCATTATTATTATAGAAAGTACACTTATAAACATTTTCTCTTGCATACCAACTTTGACTAATTGACGATTGAACATAAAAATTAGAATGAGATTCACTTAATACTCACTCCAAATACTCATCGCTTAATAGTGTTGGTTCGACATGGTTTTAGAAACTTGAAACCTCAGGGAGACCTTATTGAACGTACCTAGTCCTGTGCCCTCTGCCATGGTATTTGTGATTCCAAAATCGGACCATTGACTTGGTACATTTTCAAACGTCCTATGCTGGAAATCACGAATACGGGATTAGGTACGTTCCACAAGGTCTCCCTGACACTCCGACCAATTTGCGAAAACAAGCTCGAACCAACACTATAGGGCTAAAGGAAACTGACCAAACAAAAGGCCACACCACCTTGGTATTTATATTTACTCTTGGCTTAGGTTCACCCGTTTTTTATAATAGTTACACAAATAGGTATCCTAAGCCTTAGAAAAGATATGCATCTTTTATATTGATGCCGCCTTAACTTCTTTTTCTCAGTTCCGCGTTTCTTTTAATACGAATAAGACTTATATAAACAAGCTTATGACTCTGGAAATAGTCAAATTATCTTACCTAGTCTAGAGGACCTCGATTATTTCTTTTGCATCCTCGAAGAAAATAAAAGATGTCCTTTTTGTATTTTTTAAGGTCTTATGTTTACCCTTGGTGAACTAGCCTTATAAAGCCTGGTATAGTAAGATCAATTAGCAATGATCAGATTCTTAACATATACAACAACACAGATCTATTAGTAGGTCATACTATGTTTACGGTTCTTACTAAGCAGTCAAACGAACCAAGGAACCCATACTCA